TTTTTATCACATTTACACAACACTTTATGAATACAAGTCATGAACAAATCTTAAATATGGCAGGGGATGTGTTTCCTTTTTTAGTTTTGATTTTGAGCAGCAAATTTGGAGTTACATGTTGGTGCTCACCAGGAATGCATAAGCAAAATTGCACAAATTTTCACTTGAAAGAATTGTGAACAATCGGGATTTTTTTTTCTGTTAAAGTTTCAAATAGTGTGTAAATTGAACACTTCATCTTCAGCATGTTTAGGGCCCCTTTTGTAAGTGCCCCCCCCCCCCCCGTCCCGGCCACGCCCTTTTCCGATTTTTTCATCACTAGCCACTCTCATCCCTGTTTGATGAAATACCGTTGCTGTGTCAACTCGCTGTTCGGCAATGAAATGCGAATTTAGAGGGTCTTAGATGCATTAAAACTCATAAAACATTGCACATCCATCAAGCCTGACAAAGTGGCTGGGAAATTTAAGAAACATGAACTCCAACCTGATGAAAACAAATCAAAGAGAAGAGATAATGCTTTACTTGTGGAACGCTGAGCCCTCTTTCGAATGCTTTCTGCCATTTTGTTTCTCGCATCGAAAACTGCCCGAATCAATCCATACTATCTGCCTCAGTTGTCTGCCTAAATCATCTGACTTAGGCAGTTAGTGTGGATTGTAACGGGTTCTTAAGATTTTAATAAGTCTTTTGAGTGGCCAAGGACATTGGATGAAAGGCAGAATTATGCTGCGCTGGAAGGAGTGTAAATTTATGCAGATATCACAATTTGGCCCCAAACATTATGCTATAGGGCTAACGATATACAGTATTATAATTAGGGCTCGGGTTAAAAAAAAATCCACTAACATAGCTAAGTTGACCAAAACAACATAAAAACGGGGGTCATGGCTGTTACCAGAGTCATCAACAAATCAGGTACCGGTAATCAAGATTTGTGAGTGACAGGCTAAATGTTTTATATTATTATAAATATTTAAACTATTATTAAACATTAGTGACATTCATTTATGTGAAGACACTGATCATATTCATAATTTCTTTCACTCTGTTTCTGTCTTGTGTCCTATGTGTTGTGTTGTGTTATTTTTGTTATTTTGACTTCAAAATGGCGCCGCGAGAGTGGCTGCCTTTCCAGCAGCTCCTATATTTTGTTGTTCCACTTCTTCCTTTCATAACTTTGCTGCTGTGAATTGGGAATTTCTCCATTGCGAGACTAATAAAGGTTTTCTTATCTTATCTTATCTTATCTTATCTTAAATTACATGTATTTCAAAAAATGTCTTCCATTTGCATTTTCAAATGATCACCTATATACAACATTCCTAGAAAATCACAATGCCCAATCACTGGTGAGCTATTTTTGGAGCAGGCCATCTTGGTCCTCTCATCCAGTGTATACCACACACAGCCTTTTAGTTAAGATCCCAACCTTAATTTAGTTTGGTGCTGATAATAGGCATAGACGATGCTGCGTCATTGGAATTTTTCCGCTGCATTTTTAGTAAGGGCCTTTAGGCCAGGTGTTGATGAGTTGAATCACAAATTGCCAAAACAACGGAAATGTGTTTTGCACATCACACAGAAATTCTCCTCATTTCCGATTTGGTAACTATTTGCCTTTTTTTTTGAGGGGGGGGGGGGACCTGTCACTAGCTATTTGCTGAAAAACTCACATATTTGCCATTGTGTGCTCTTTGAAACGGCTTAGAATAGCACAACATGGTGCCAAAGCTCTGTCGAGTTGAAAAGTAGTACAGTAGAGCTAGCTACTGTCATTTGCCACGATGCATTGTACAAACCTGTTGAATTTGTGTCATTATTTTCTAGGAATATTTGCAAAACTTCTGGTCAGAGCTACGGGCGGCTCATGAATTGTACAGCTCCATTTGCCAGGCTCTACAGCAGAAGGAGAGCGAGTGCACTGAAAAAGAGTTTACTGACCACCTACCAGCTGAAATCCTGGAGGCTGGTATCAAATCTGGACGCTATATTCAGGTACCACGTCTGTTTTTGTGCTTGAGCCTTACTTCTGCATCTTAAAGCATCAAGAGTTTGATGATGCAAAGCTTTATTCAGTTTCAGAAAAAAAGGTTTTAAGATATCTGATGTTTTACAAATTGTATGTGGAGCACAGTTGAAAATCTTTTCTCCAGATTATTTTACAAAACTGACCCAGTTCTGTGTGCTTTGTCATATGCACGTTTGTTAATCACAAAGTCTTTTCCTGCTACAGCTTTTTGGCATGTTAAATTTGATTCAAAAAGATGAAATGGACCAAATTTGGACAGAGGAGGTTTCCACACAGTGTCGACATGTTATCCTAACTCAGACCAGTTCCCTTGGTCATATTAACACAATCCTTGATAAATTGGCGCTGGAGGAGCTGTTTTTACCCTTAATTTAACGAGGTCACAATTGAAATAATTTCACAGAGTTTCTCTCCCCGCAACTTGGCAAGCTACGTTACATGAAAACTGCAGGTGTCGCTTGACAACAAGGAAGCACTGGCATGTCCAAGGCCAAAATATTAATGAAGACACCTTTGGAACTGTTACCAATTGTGGAAAAAATGCACAATTTGGCTGTTTTAACGAACAGCTTGCGACTAAAATTAACTTGGTTATGAAATTTCACGCGTGATCTGTGGGTAGGCTTGCAGAGGCCCAACTATTATGTATATAAAAGCAATTAAAAAGTCAATATTAGTTAGTCTACACATCCAGTCAGTATATGTAAATTCATTATTGTGCTGCACCCTCCTGGTCCTTCCCGTCATTTTTAATTGAATTCTATTCTCAGTACTGTTATCAAAGCTAGTCATTTGTGTTGACCAAATAATCACAGTAATTTCCAAAATTCATGATTTATTCAATTATTGGTTGCAGTTGAGTTATCGCAGGCAGTCGATGGAGCCACTCGCCATCATACACACGCATTCAACTTTGTTTGGACATGAATGTACTCTTTTTTCCTCTCATCTGACGACTTTCTATTCACCTTTGACATTGATGACTGCATGCCAGCAGATTATTTATTCATAATAATTAGCATTAAATATTATGTACCGGTAGTTATTTATTTTCCCTTTTATGCAGATTTTCCTTTTTGTTTTTTTCTGAAGTACTTGTCTTCACTTGCTTGAGCTGGATGCCAACCCAGCTGATTCGCCGGGTGCGAGGCAGGTTACACCCTGTCATGATCAACAATTGTGGCTCCATATTGGAATGTGAGCACACGAAAAACATGAAAACTCATCACAAATTAGAAAGGAAAGGGCATCCTACTCATTTGCTAGAAAATGACTCAGCCCGAGTCTTAAAACCTTCTTAAGGGCCCTCTGTAAAGCCAGAATGCCTTATTACTCTGCTTTAATTTCAAGATAAACAAAAACAAGCATCACTTTTTCTTCAGCACAGTGGCTCGGCTGATAAAATAAAACAGTCCCACCAATCTTTGTATTCCCACCACTCTCAGTGAAAACGATTTTTCAACATTGTATTACCATAAAATTGTTACTGTTCAGGACAAAATCTTGATCACCTCCTGCTGTCAGATTTGTCAAGCGCTATAATAAAAATAATTGAACAGAAATCCCAAACCATAAAGGTTTATATACCAATCAATCCAGAAATTATTATAAGCTAAATAAAGATTGTCGATTTCTGTTTTTCTGGTAATCAACGAGCACCAGCACATCTGCAAAGTGCTGAAGCCTAACAGTGTTGATATTTGATTTTAATTTCATCCCACTTGGCCGATAATAATAACTGATGTGCGGACAGTGCATTTGTGACTTGACGTCATCTTCAGCTGACATCTCCATCAAATTCTGTCATTGAGGAGACTATTGTAGTTGCTTGGCTGATTATTTACTTCCAGTTAATAACAAAAGTTAAAAAGAAGGAATTGGAAAGCTCTCTACTTCATGTTAAGGTATACTGTATAATTTTGGTGGTTGAGCCGCGGAATTCTGCGAGTTGATGGCTGCATACAGCTGCAACCACCCTTGCTGACGTGATCGTTCCGATTGGCTCATCAGCTAAGTTTCCCCAAAACATTTCGACCTCCTCCCGCCTCTCTCCTTTCTCATCTCCTCCCTCCTCCAGTGTATATTCACCCACGTGAGCCAACTCGCGGTAGACGTGGCGGGTCTCCGTCATTCGCCAGCAAAACAGACGTCCGTCAGTGACGGATTGACGGATCTTCCGTTAGTACTGTGGGAATGCCTACCTCTGCTTATCACAACTGCAGCGCTTAACACAAAAATGTCCAAACTACGGCCTGTGGGCCTTTTACGGCTCGCCATCATCCATTTTTTTCGTGGCCAGTGGCATATTACTAAATCTGACATTTGACACGGCCCACAAGGATAGCTTTAAAAAAAAAAAAAAAAAAAAGACGTAGGTGTTCAGAGTGAGAAAGTAGGGTGTCAAACAAAATGGGTGCCACTACTCTTCATAAATTGATTCACATTCTGAACATCTTTTCGAGATATTCAAAGATAAAAATCAACTACTGTATTTACAATTAAAATAACACAACTCTTCTTCAAAACACTGATAAATAAAGCTAGTTCAAGCATTTAGAAGCATAAATTGTTTCTTCCACATTCTGCTGTGTTAAGGTGCGACTCATAAACATGTCACATTTAATCATTGTCACGTACTGTTCTAAAAAGGGTCAGCTTGATACAGTTTGCTTTTGTTTTGGTTCTGAATGTGGAAATGGGATTCGGCTTCTGTTCAGTGCAGGGGTGGATCTAGTCTAGTGTGATACAAGGCCGTTGGCCACCCTAAAATCTTGAAAAATCCTAAACCATTTGCCTTTTCATCGTAATAGAAAGCTGCTATGTAACAGTTTTCCAGAGTAACTACAAAATGTTCACAATATATCAGTGCTCGCTTGACTGATTTCAGAGTGTTAAATGAATTCAAGTTGAAGAATTTTAAAGTGGCCCTCGAACGAAAAAGTTTGGACACCCCTGGCTTAACATGATCAAGATGTCTTTGTTGTCAGACTATTTACCACAAAACTAACGCATGTTTTTATGACCTCTGCGTTGGATTATTGTAATTATCTTAGCTGGCTGATCCAGTATTTTTTCCCCAAATGCTGTGCCCCGTGCGACTCGAACAAAGAGAAGTGACGTTTGTGCTAGTATTCAAACACCGTTTCCTTGTAAAATTAATAGTTGAATTCAAAATCATTCTTCTCGCCTATTTTTTCAATCCAATGATTGAAAGGGATTTCCTCGCAGTTGGAGTTTACGCGACAGTATGATTTGGCCAGCGTCACAGCACCGTCTCGCTAAGTGTTTGTGTCTTGACTACCTTGTGGCCACTTTGCATACAGAGTGAGAGTGTTGTTGCTTTGCTCTAACTTGGGTGTACCTTTTATTTTGAGCTCCAGCCAGGTTTTGCATGCCCGAGTCACCACATTTTGTTCGCCCCAAAATCTTCCTTCGATCAACATCAATCACAATGTTCCCCTCCGTTTGTTCAGGGAACTCTGAATGTCAACAAACACAGAGCACAGACGGAAGCTTCTGTCAGAACGGAGGGTCTCTCAGATAAAAATACAGGTACGGTATTCCAGCTGGGTTTTTTTGTTTTCTTTTTCTTTGCGAGACATTATCTTGACTGACCTTGTGGTTTAACTCTCCTGTATTGTCTGTCCGTCCTTCATCTGCTGTAGAGCTGAGCAGCGAGGTGTTGGTGTATGGAAACAAGCATCGTAACAGGGCTGTGCATGGCGACGTGGTCGCGGTGGAGTTGTTGCCGAAGAGCGAATGGAGAGGGAAGGTTAGCACTCTGACCGAAGGACAGCCGGAGGAAAAGAATGGAGACGACACCCAAAGTCAGCCCATGCCTACAGGTGGGGCCCTCTCATCTGAAACTCCTCAACGTCTTTTGTCAAAAGCAGTCCAAAGTGACTTGTTCTCTTCCATGTTTTAAATCCAATGTCTGAATCATAAAACTTGCAGGATGCGTTGTGGGGATCTTGCAGAGGAATTGGAGGGACTATGTGGTCACGTTTCCTCCGAGGGAGAGCACACAGTCCCAGAGCAGGAATTCTCAGCGCATCCTGACTGTGCCTTGGGACCATCGCATCCCGAAGATCCGCATCAGCACGCAGCAGGCCGACGCCTTGCAGGTCGGCTTTGCATTTTACTGTGGTAAAAACCAGCCAGAAGATTGTTTCGTAAATTGAGTTGGAAATTAGATTTTGAACTGTTAATTTGATTTCAGCCTGAACATCAGATAAGCTGTCAGAAGAAGGAACAAAGACAGATGTGGGAAAGGAGTTGGGTTTTTTTGTTGTTGTATTTTCGCCTTTAATAGTGCTTGTAAAGCCTCAGGCTAATGCTGTGGATTCAATTGCCTTTCTTTTTTTCTTCAAAACTTCAGTATGAAAGTATCACAGAGGTCAGTTGTGATTCGAGGTGAGACTCCTTGCTAGCCCCTTGATTCCATGATTATTATTATTTTTTCATTAATTCAGTTTGATTCATTATCCCCATGCATCACATTCAGTCTGACAATATTGTTTTGTTTTCATCAATAAATACAAGCAGTCAGTTACACGCCTATTTTTATATATTATTAAGGTAGTGCATTTTCTGTAAAGTGGCGACATGAAAGGATCTTACATAGCAACTTCAGCATCCTCAACAAATGTCGAAACCTGCCGTTGACCCATAAAGAATACTGCCAGACATTTTCACGACGAAGGCTCCCGCAACCTGACTTATTGCTGACAGACACACGTCAATTCTTGCTTGCGGCGCTCTGCTGTGCATTTTCCACGGCCCGTGTAGTCAGCAACGCAAGCCTGTCCACTCAAAGTGTCTCAATAAAGCGCAGATGAATGATGGAAAGAAAGTCCAACTGCGCTCGGGGGGTCTGAATATTATTTGTGCGCATGGTTTTCATGCCTCATATTTCATATTTAACTGCCTCTGTAGTGTCCTTGCTTAGATGTAAGGGCTTATTCTGAGCTGGACAGCAAGCTGGAGACGTGATGCAAGGCATTCTCATAGTTGTTTGTAGCTTTTAATCTAAAATGTCATTTGGCAGAATAAAAACTACGTGCATGGATTCGAAGCGGTTATACAGGGTGTCCATAAAGACACTTTACCATTTCAAAAATGTATTAAAAATGCAATTTATTAGATATTTTATTCAGATTTGTTCGATTATATTCAGCGTTTATTAAAGTTTTTTTTTTACCTCTTTTAATACACTTCTACATGGGCACCATTAGTTTCACGAAGCATATCAAGACAGTCCTCGATTTCTTGCCATGTTCGCTGTAGCATAGCCTCATCAATTGTGGCAATGGCATCAGTCATCCTTTGCTTTCAGTCAGTAAAGTCCCTTATCTTTGTTCGACACACGATATCTTTAACATAGCCCCATAGAAAGAAGTCCAGGGGAGTGATATCTGCTGAACGTGGCGGCCAAGGAATTGGCCCATCCCTCCCAATCCACCGGTCTGGAAATGTTTGATTGAGGAACCCACAAACATGCAGCCCCAATGTGGTGGTGCACCATCTTGCTGAAAAATGATGGTTGGTTGAAGGTCATTCAGTTGTGGTGCCACATATTCAGTTAAAAGGTCAAGGTATACATTTGCAGAAATGGATGTCTCGTTGAAGAAAAATGGATCAATTATTCGATTGCACATGATCCCACACCACACATTCACCTTTGAGCAGTGTGCTAAAAAACTTGAATGAACACTCAAGACAAAAGAACATATCTGAATAAAATATCTAATCAATTGCATTTTTAATACATTTTTGAAATGGTAAAGAGACTTTATGGACACCCTGTACAGTATATGTAGATAGACACCTGGATTTTCCGCACTATAAGGCACATTTAAAAGCATTCAATTTTCTCAAAGTCAAGTTCAGTCAGCTTTATTGTCCAATATGCTCTATGTGCAACATACAGCACAGATGGCATTTCTTTTCGCTCAACCACAGTGCAAACATGCAGTGCATTGAAAACACACAGCTAAAAATCAGGGCAGCAAAACTGAACTGCATAAAAAAGACAAAGTCAAGTCAAGTAAGCTTTCTTGTCAATTATGTGTAAAGACATAAGTACATAAATATAAACAAATAAAACAATAAATAGCAATCAACAGACAACCAAGAGCACTTACGATTATTTGCCGGTTAAAGTTAGGTAGTGCATTGTTTAAGTGCAATAATCGGATGTCAGATGCTGAGGGAGGGGCACAGTCTGTGGCAGGAGGCAGGGGTAGAGGGTGGGTGGTGGGGGGTGTGCGGGCAGAACAGGGAGGGAGTTGAGTCTCTTTGACCGCCTGGTGGAAGAAACTGTTCTTGAGCCTGCTGGTTCAAGCACTGAGACATCGCAGTCTCCTCCCCGACGGCAGCGGGTCGAAGAGGCTGTGAGATGGGTGGGTGGGGTCATCTGCGATCTGGATGGCTTTGCGGGTCAGACGAATGTTGTAAATGTCCACGAGTGGGGGAAGAGAGACACCAATGATCTTCTCAGCTGCTCTCACGATGCGCTGCAGACTCTTTCGGCAGGACACGGTGCAAGCGCCGTACCACACGGTGATGCAGCTGGTCAAGATGCTCTCAATGGTGCCTCTATAGAAAAGCCGAAAGTGTGCCCTATAATGGGATGCGGCTAATATAAAGAGACGTCACTCTCTTTATATTCCCCATTGAGTTGTTTCCCTGGTAGTGTTCCGATGCCATCTAGTGGTAACCTGGAAGGGTTCTGCCCTACACTAATTGACATGTGCATTTGCCAAAACGCACTCAAACAAACAGACAACTACTTTGTGAGCTCTGCACAGCCATTATGAAACGAAGATAATACCAAAAGCATAGTTAACTACTGACTAAACGAAGGAAGAAGGAGACAAGTGAGACTTGGAGTAAGGGTATTTAGCCCCTTGTGCATGTGAGCCCACGAGGTTTGTGTGCCTTTTTGTTGTTTTGTAATGCCATTTGTATTTATATGTTTCATGTCCGCGTTTGTGACCAGTTCTCATGGCTTTGTTACAGCCGCAGCGGTTGTGAAGGCTCTATAATATTAACAAAGCTGTATTGGATTGTATAGTATTCCCTTTAGTGTATCACCATCTAGTGGATGCATAGCACAACTACGGCCACAATTGTAGCTTCTATTGCCTCTATGCGCCTTCTAATGCAGTGCGCTCTATATTTGAAAACAGCTTTAAAACAGGCCATTTATTGAAGGTGTGCCTTACAATCTGAAGCACCTTATAGTGTGGAAAATACCGTGTGTGTGTGTGTGTGTGTGTGTGTGTGTGTGTGTGTGTGTGTGTGTGTGTGTGCGCGCGTGCGTGCGTGTGTTCTGGAATGAATTGTAAAAACATAACCTTCCTCTCCACTTTGCTTCAGGACCACAGAGTGGTAGTACGCATTGACTCATGGGAAAGCACGTCATTGTATCCCAACGGACACAGTGTGAGGGTTCTGGGTCGGGCTGGCGAGCTTGAGACTGAAGTACAGACCATCCTCATCGAAAACTGCATCCACGTTCCTCCCTTCTCCGATGCACAGGTCAATGGACTAACGCATACACATAGATTCTGTTCAAATTATGTCGTGAAGAATGTCACAGCACTGGAATGTATTTCTTTTCACCTTGCCTTGTGTCTGGTTGTCCCCAGCTGAGAGAAATGCCTGCAAATTCGCCCGAGAAGCCCTGGAAGGTGGATCCTTCTCAGGTGGCTGTGCGACAGGACCTGAGGGACAGTCACTTGGTGTTCAGCATCGACCCCGCGGGCTGCGAGGATGTTGATGACACGCTGTCTGTGCGGAGCCTCGCAGGAGGGATGGTGCTGGAGCTCGGCGTCCACATTGCTGATGTGACACACTTTGTTTCTCAAGGCTCCCTGACTGACTTAGAAGCACACGCAAGGTGAGTGATGACGTTGTTCCCTGCAAACTAATAAATGGATGATTATGTCCACATGGAGGGATGACCGCTTCTCAGTCGTCTTCTTGATTTTTCTTTTCAAATAAATCTAGTCTGAGATTGTTTTTTTTTTTTAAATTGATGAAAATGGGACAGGCCCTGACTTTTAAATGTCGTCACAGTGCGAATGAGAGATCTAATCGGCTGTAGTGAAATGGAATGAATGCGACGAAACCTTAAAGGGCGTCATAGGGCAGGGGTCACCAACCCAAGGACCAAATGAGCAGGGGGCGGGCAGCGTAGCTCTCCAGTGTTGGGACATTGTGATTTCCTTGGAATGTTGTAGAAATGGTCATTTGAAAATAATCATTTCAATCAAAATTTGGAGGCATTCTTTTGTGGGACGGGAGTTATATGTAATCTCCGGCATCTCATGGTACGATTAGGTTGTGTAACATCCCGTTTTGCCACAGTAGCCACAGCAAGTCAGGGTCTACGAAAGCTGTTTGGGAACGTTCAGTCACAATGTGTGACAATGAATGGGCCTGGCGCGATACTGCGAGAGAGCTCTTTGGGAAAAACATTTTTATTGAGCTGCCGTATGTGACCAAACCCCCACCCACCTTTACCATGACAGTATTGAGAAAAATATAAAATGTCCACATTGACAGTGCCTCACCTGTGTTTCAGGGCTACAACTTACTACCTTGCAGACCGCAGGTATGACATGTTGCCAGCGATTCTCAGTGCGGATATCTGCTCTCTTTTGGGAGGACTCGACAGGTCAGTGGGAGTGTTTTATTTCACCTTGATTTACAGTCACCCCCCATTTTTTGTTTTTACATGACATTTCATATGTGAAAATACACAATGGAAATGTGTGAAATCCAGATATGCAATGAGTGTGCTGTGGGAGCTGGACGCGCAAACCCTCGCTGTCAACAATGTGTGGTACGGCCGCACTGTCATTCGCTCCTCCTACCAGCTGGACTATGAGCTGGCTCAGGCCCTTCTCAATGGAGAGCAGGGCGAGGTAGCAGAGCTGACCCGGCTGAGCTCTCGCGAGAAGGACGCCAAGTTGGCTGAGCTCAGGCAGGCTCTGCAGGTGCTGACCCACGTGGCACGACACCTGCGGGCGCAGCGAGATCAAGGCGGTGCTTTGGAACTGGAAGGGGTGGAGGTATGAGTAGTGTACCATTATGAATTTGTTGCACTAAGGAGCCAAGTTGGCATTGTGATCTCCCTGTACAGTGCAGTACTTCAACTTCCAATAAACTGCTAAAACACATCTTTTTTGGTCTTTTATCACTTTGGTACCAGGTGCGTGCACAGCTGGACAATGAAAAAAACATCACGGCTCTGGTCCCGCGCCAGCCCCTCGAGATTCACGAGACAGTGGCCGAGTGCATGATCTTCGCCAACCACTGGGTGGCGCGCAAGATCCACGAGGCCTTTCCCCATCAGGCGCTGCTTCGGCATCACCCGCCTCCGAGACAAGAGTTCTTCAGCCAGCTGGTGGACAGCGCCAAGTCCAGGGGCTTCACCATCGATACCAGGTTTGGCACAACAGTTTCTCATATAAGGTTTTGCTTGTGCTGGTGAGAATATTTGCACAAAAATAGATGTTGGGAGCTCAATGGCATAATGTACCATTGCAGTGATTTACAAACAGTGTGCATTCATATGCCACTGGAAATGATCAAATTAGTTGGTCCGAAAAATATTTATTTTTTCACAACAAGCGAAAAGCACAAATAGTTCATCTACCTATGCCAGTTGATGCTCCCCCCACTTAATGGCAATTTTTTTCTGATATAAAACATGTGGCTTCGCTCAATAAAAGTTGAGAAATCCGAGTGTAAAGACCTAGTATTACATACTATCCCCCCCGCCCCCATGAAAAATAAATATGGGGGGGGGAATAGTTCAGTGAAACTCGTCTACATCGAAATCATGTTTGCAGCAACAAATTTTTCACAACAGGGGCTTTTTCACTGTCCCAAATTTGATCTCAGATGTAAACACACACACACACACACACACACACACACGTATGTGTACACGCACACACAAACGTATGTGTACTCTTTATTTTTATTCCAATAGTGCATAAGTATGAGCACACACTTATTTGACACTTCATATAGTTAGTGTAGAAAGAAAAAAAGGGAAAGAAATTGCGAAATTTACGATCAGCATTCACTTTCACTTACATCAATTTCTTGGATAATGTCTTTTATTTTGCTTCCTCCGTCTTTCATTTTGATCACTTTTACCCTCTCTTCCAGCGTCAGTTGTCTTAGCTGCTTGACATCCAAAGGTCCGTTTTGTAGCCATTTTAGCTATGCAACATTCTTGCTGCGTCTGAAACAAACAATAACAAATACTTCCTGGACTACTGCGCATGTGTAAACCAGTGTTGTGGTTGCTGTTGCCGTTTCCGAACGGAGCAGTAGAGGTCGCTGTTGGATTAGACTTTATTGTAGTGAATCTCGTCACGAGGCAAGAGCAGAGAAAAAGATTTCGTATAACGCAACAGGGTTTTTTTTTTTCCGTTGTATGGGGGACAGGAGAGTGGGAATGGTGTTAATGCATGAAGATTTTTGCACACTAGGGGGTATTTTCGCCCATGTAGGTTTCGTTGTAGAGGAGTTTCATTGTATAAAGCAGGGGTGCCCAAACTTTTTGGACTGAAGATCTACTTTTTGTTCAACCAACGTCCCGGGATCGCCCCTTACCGCGCACGCACGCACTAAGGAGCCAAGTTGGCATTGGCTCTGGTCCCGCGCCACACACACACACACACACACACACACACACGCGCGTGCACGCACGCACGCACGCACGCGCGCCACGATCAGAAGCCAAACATGGAAGCAAGCGATGCACTTTTGCAGCCTCTTGACTATCGTAGCTCACACGTACCGTTTTGAAGTGCTTCCCTCAGCCCTCTAGATCAGGGGCCCCCAACCTTTTTTGCCCCACGGACCGGTTTATGTCAGACAATATTTTTAGGGACCGGCATTTAAGGTGTGGCGGAAATAATACAACAAAATAATATGGTATGAGCTGCATGAAAACGGTGGCG